AGATATCCATATATCATTTTTGGAAATATGTCTATTCATATCCTTTGCCATTTTTAATTGAATTATTTGTCTTTTGATTGTTATAAGAATCTTTTGTATGTTCTATATACAAGTTCTTTATTAAATATATGATTTGCAGATATTTTCTCCTATTCCATGGGTTGTCTTCACTTTTCTTAATGGTGTTCTTTGAAGCACAGAACTTTCAAATTTTGATAGAGTTCAATTCATCTATTTTTTTTTCTGCTACTGATGGAGCTTTTGGTGTCATATTTTAAAAATCATTGTCTAATTCAATGTCATATTTATACCTGTTTTCTTCTCAGAGTTTAATATTTTTAACTCTTACATTTAAGTCTTTGATTTTTTTGTGTATATACTATTTTTTAGAGAATTTTTAGGTTTATAGAAAGATTAAGCATAAGGTGCAGAGATTTCTTTTGCATAGCCTCCCCCATTATCAGCATCCCTCACCAGAATGATACATTTATTACAATTGATGAACCTACATTGATAAATCATTATCACCCAAAGTCCCTGATTTACATTAGGTGTCACTGTTGGTAGAATATATTTTGTAGGTTTGGACAAATTTATAATGACCTGTTTCTACCATTATAGTGTCATATAGAGTAGTTTCACTGCTCTAAAAGTCAGCTGTGTTCCACCTGTTCATCCCTCCTTCTCCCCAACTTCCAGCAATCATCAATGTTTTTATTGTCTCCACAGTGGCTTTTTTTTTTCCCAGAAAGTCATATAATTGGAATCATATAGTCTGTAGCCTTTCCATATTGGCTTACTTCACTTAGTAATATGCTTTTAAGTTTCTTCCATATCTTTTCGTAGCTTGATAGCTTATTCCTTTTTTAGCATTGAATAATATTCCATTTTCTGGATGTACCACAGTTTAATTATCATTCACCTACTGGAGGACTTCTTGGTTGCCCCACTTTTTGGCAGTTATAAACAAAGCTTCTATAGATATCCACATGCAGGCTTTTGTGTGTAAATAAGTTTTTAACTTCTTTGGGTAAATACTAGGGAGAGTGATAGCTGGATCATATGGTAAAAGTATGTTGTTCTGTAAGAAACTGCCAAACTGTCTTCCATATTGGCTACACCAACTTGCATTCCCACTAGCAATGAATAAAAGTTGCTATTGCTCCATATCCTTGCCAACATTTGATATTGCCACTGTTCTGGATTTTGGCCAATCTGTGTGTTGTATATCTCACTGTTTTAATTTGTCTTTCCCTGATGACATGGAAAGTGGAGCATCTTTTCATATACATATTTACCACAAGTATATCTTCTATTATGAGGTGTCTGTTAAGGTCTCTGGCTTTTTTTTTTTTCTTTTTTTCAGACGAGTCTAACTGTGTTGTCCAGGCTGGAATGCAGAGGTGCAATCTTGGCCCACTGCAACCTCCACTTCCTGGGTTCAAGCAATTCTCATGTCTCAGCCTCCCAAGTTAAGTAGCTGAGACTACAGGATCATGCCACCACACCTGACTAATTTTTGTATTTTCAGTAGAGATGGGGTTTCACCATGTTGGCCAGGCTGGTCTCGAACTTCTGACCTCAGGTGATCTACCTACCTTGGGCTCCCTAAGTGCTAGGATTACAGGAGTGAGGCACCACACCCAGCCTGTGTTTTAAATTTCAAGTTCTACTTGTTCATGCTGGTATATAGGAAAGTGGTTGACTTTAGTTATATTAGTCTTAGTATCAGCTCTATCAGCTTTTGCCTCATGTAATTTGATGCTTTCTGTTTTGGAAGGTTATTAATTACTGATTCCTGCAACCATGCTATAATTACTTACTAGTTTTAGGAGATTTTTAAAAATCAATTCTTTTGAATCATATCATCTGCAAACAGTATTATTTTATCCTTTCATATCTGTATACTTTTTATTTTCTTTTTGTCTTTTATTACATTATTTAGGACTTCCAGTATGATGCTAAAAAACAATAAAGAGAGGCAACAGTCTTAACTTGTTTCTGATACTAGTGGGAAAACTTCAAGTTTCTTACCATTTAGAGTAATGTTAGCTGTAGATTTTTTGTAGATATTCTTTATCAAATTGAGGAAATTCCCCTCGATTCCTAGTTTACTAAGAATTTTTTTTTTTTCACAAATTGCCATTGGATTTTGTCAAATGCTTTTCTTACATCTGTTGATGCTGTCATGTGATTTTTCTTCTTTAGCCTGTTGATGTGATATTAACTGATTTTTAGATGTTGAACTAGCCTTGCATAACTGGGGTAAGTCCCAGTTGATCATTGTGTATAATTCCTTTTATACATTGTTGAATCTGATTTGCTAATTTTTTTTTGAGGATTTTTGCGGCTGTGTTTATGAGAGATGCTGGTGTGTTGTGTAGTTTCTTTTCTCATAATGCTGTTTTCTAGTTTGGGTATTAAGGTAATTTTGGCCTTACAGAATGAGCTAGGAAGTATTCTTTTGGCTTTTGTCTTGTGAGAAATATTGTGGAGAATTGCCATAATTTCTCCTTTAAATGTGAGAATCACTTGAACCCAGGAGGCAAAGGTTGCAGTGAGCTGAGATCTGCACTCCAACCTGGGCAACAGAGCGAGATTCTGTCTCTAAAATAAAATAGAATTCAACAGGGAAACCATCTGCACCTGATGCTTTCTGTTTGGAAAGATCGTTAATTACTGATTCAATTTCTTTGCTACATATAGGCTTATGCAGATTATCTGATTTTTATTTATTTATTTTTTTCTTCTGCTTGCTTTGGATCTGATTTGTTCCTCTTTTTCTAGTTTTTTGAGGTGGGGGTTTCAATGATTGATTTTAGATATTTCTTCTTTTCTAATGTATGCATTCAATGCTATGAATTTCCTTCTAAGTATTACTTTTGCTGAATTGTAAACATTTTGATAAGTTATGGTTTCATTTTTATTTAATTCAGAGTATTTTTAAGTTTCATCCAGGATTTCTCCTTTAATCCATGTGCAGTTTTTGAAGTATGTTGTTTAGTCTCCTAGTAGTTTGGAAGTTTTCAGTTCTCTTTTGTTACTGAGTTCCAGTTTAATTCTACTGTGGTCTGAGAGCAGACAGTGTATGATTTCCACTCTTTTAAATTTGTTAATTTTTTATGGCCTGGAATGTTGCTAAATGTTTCATATGCACTTAGGAAGAATGTGTGTTCTGCTGTTGTTGGATGAAGTAGTCTGTAAGTGTCTATTAAAACCAGTCAACTGATGATGATACTGGGTTTCACTATGTCTTTACCAATTTTCTGCTTGCTGGTTGTGTCCATTTCTGATAAAGAGATGTTGAAATCTCCAACTGTAATAGTGGATTCATCTGTTTCTCTTTGCATATCTATCAGCTCTTGCCTCATTTATTTTGATGCACTGTTATTAGGTGCATACACATTAAGAAGTGATTTGTATTCTTAGAAAACTGACTACTTTATCATTATGTAATGCATTTCTTTGTCTCTGATAAGTTTACTTGCTGTGAGGTTGGCTCTGTCTGAAATTAATTTAGCTCCTCCTGCTTTTTAGAGTTATCGTTAGCATGTTATATCTTTCTCCATGCATTTACTTTTAAGGTATATGTATCTTTGTATTTAAAGTAGTTTCTTTTTTTTTCTGTAAACAGCATATAGTTGGATCTTGATTTTCAATCCACTGTGACAGTCTCTGTCTTTTAATTGGGGTATTTAGACCATTGATGTTTAATGTGATTATTGAGGCCAGGCATGGTAGCTCACGCCTGTAACCCCAGCACTTTGGGAGACAAAGGCAGTCAGATTACCTGTAGTCAGAAGTTCGAGACCAGCCTAGCCAATGTGGTAAAAACCCATCTCTATCAAAAATACAAAAATTAGCTGGTACGGTGGTGGGCACCTGTAGTCCCAGCTGCTCAGGAGACTGAGGCAGGAGAATCACTTGAACCCAGGAGGCAGAGGTTGCAGTGAGCCGAGATCTGCACTCCAACCTGGGCAACAGAGTGAGACTCTGTCTCTAAAATAAAATAAAATAATCTACCATATTTGTTCTTTTTCTGTTTGTTGCCTTTGTTTTTTGTTTCTGTTTTTGTCTTCCACTCTTTTCCCACTTTTTATACTTTTAATTGAGCATTTTTTTTATGATTCTGCTTTCTCCCCTCTTTTAACATATCAGTTGTATTTTTTAAACTTTTTTTTAGTGATTGTCTTAGAGTTTGCAATATACATATAAAACCAATCCAAATTCACTTTCAAATAACATTATGCTACTTCCTAGGTAATGCAAGTATCTTATGGTAACAAAATAATTCCTGTCTCTCCTTCATCTCTCTTGTATCATTGCTGTCATTCATTTTGCTTACGTATAAGTGTACATAAACATATAGATGTATACATTTATGGATACATGGGTGAATATGTTGTTGCTAGTATTTTAAACAAGTTGTTATCTGTTAGATCAATTAATAATGACAGAAAGTTTTATTTTATCTTCATTTATTTCTTCTCTGATGCTTTACTTTTCTTTATGTAGATCTGAGTTTCTGACTTACATCATTTTCCATCTCTCAAAAGAAGTTATTTTAACATTTCTTGCAAAGTAGCTTCACTTTATTCATTAGAGCCCTCTGCATATTAGTCATAGTTGTTTGAAATTTCTGGTCTGATAATTTCAACATCTCTGCTGTATCTGAGTCTAGTTTGATACTTGTTCAGTCTTTTCAAACTGTGTTTTTTGCCGATAGTATATTTTATAATTTTTTCTTGATAGCCAGACTAATGTATGGAGTAAAAGGAATGATTATAAGTAAAGCTTTAGTAATATGGTGGTCAGATGTTGTGGGAGGGGAATTCTATATGATTAGTTCTCAATCTTTTAATAAGCCTATGCCTCAGAACCATGAATTTCACATGTGCTTCTCATCTGCCCTCTTAGGCAAAATCCTGCTTTCAAGGTAGATTGTTTTTTAGTGTTTTCAATTTTCTTAAAGAATAACCTAGAGGTTCACATTTTTACAGCGTTTATGTCATGGTTGGTGCAGATGTCCCGTTTTCTTCTTGTTTACGAGAAGTTGAAAATCCACAGAATCAGTTGAGATGCAGTCAAGAAATGGAGCCTGTAATAACATGTGATAAAAAATTTCGTACTCAATTTTACATTGACTGGTGCAAAATTTCATTGGTGAGTTTTTATTTTGTTTTTTGCAAGTGTAGTTAAAAATTATGTAGCTGGAGGTAGTAACATTTGACTAAAACTTGAATTGCTTTTAGGAATAAACCCTGGTTTTACTTTAACTGTGGTTGACTTCCCTGAGGTTTAAGGATCTGGTAAGGTCGTTGACAGTGCATCCATTTAGGAAAGAGTATACCCACTTTTGTACTTATTCTACCCTTGATAAGTTGCTGGGGCTGGATTAGCTTGGCAGGCGGTCCAGATGAACTGCTTGGACATCCATATAGCTGCTAAATGGGCACAGATAACGGAGTTAGTATGATATGTACAGAAAGATTCTTCTTAAATATTCTGCTGCTACCCCACTTTGAAGGAGAGGATAGAGTACAATAATAAATCTGAAAATAAAGCAATATTGTGCTATGATTTAATATTCTGAAAAGTCAAATTATAGAGACAATTCCAAGTGAGAAAAGAATCGTACCCATAACTCATAAACATATTTCTTTCCAAATCACATTTTAATTTGCATGTTAAAAGATTTAGGAAAATGTAAGATTTCAAATATATTTAAGATATGTGTAATATTTTATATATGTTTATTTATCATTTTATATGTCTGTATATAATTTTTAGATCCTATTATCTGAAAGGTAGGAGAGTTGTTTTAATTCTTTGTTTTTTTCTTTTCATATTTAATGTATCCAACTGATGTTTTAATTTAGTGACCTTTTAGTTTTAACTTCTGTCAACTTTTTATGACTGGTGATGAGTGAATTAGATCTAAGTTTAAAGTTGACATTTGAACAAAGTTGTTGACACATAAACACAACTATCGCTTCATGTCTTAGAGAGCCAGCTGCAGGCAACTTTCCAGGATCCAGTACTAGAGAACATATTACTCACGTTGCAACACTTAGCACTCCTTGTGACCTTTTGCCTTGAACTCTTCCTCTCATGCCTCTTGTCTCATGGCCCTTAGAAAAATGGCCTTTGCCTTCCTAAGTCAAGTACAATTATTATTATAGGCAAATTTGCTGAATATTTCAATCATGGTGCTAATGATACAAGGGTTCAGGAGACTGAGCAGCTGCAGCCATAACTCGGATTTGTCTCCCAGCATCAGTGGATGGCAGACCCTAGCAACGCCATTTTACTTGTGGTTGTTCCGGAAAATGAGTTTATGTTTAGGACTATTACCCAATCTCTAAAAGTTTAAAAATGACATATGCCTTGAAGATTTTTGTTTATGTGGTAAGGCTTTATAAGTGGAAAGTTTGGGAATTTTTATTTTTTATTTTACATGTATTTATTTTTATGCCATATCTTGCCACAAAAGATTTCAGAAGGTTAAATAAGAGTCATACAATAAACATAATAAATAAAATATTAAAAAAAGGAAAATCAGGACCTAAATTTCACCCTCTAAAAATAAGCATAAGGCTGTGTTTGACAACAAGCTGCCTAATGTGAAGGACAAAAAAAAAAAAAAAAAATGAAATTCATCAGTTTTTAGTTCTCATTCTTAAAAAGGAGGCACAGCATCCATTCTTTGGCAGAAAGCAAAAGTTTTTACTAACATTGTATTATTAAGAAAATTTTTCAAGTTGAGTTTTTTGGGAGCAGACTGAATAATGCTATAATAATTATCCCCAACAGTTTATTTTAGTAGCAAATGTAGTAGCAAATTTCACATGGCTGCATTTTCAGTGTGCTTCAATAAAAACCTTAGCATAATTAAATGCAACTCAGTGAAAGCCGCTCAATTAATGTGGAGGTAAATTAACATAGTGCAACTGTTGTAGTTTTTTTGATTCTGGGATGGAATTAAGTCAGACTGGGTTAGGTTCCATATTCCCTAGACTATCTTCCATAAAAGTTACTTCTGTCAACTGGAAGGCAGAAAGATCAAGGACAACATGTTTGGAAATTGTCCCTGTTTTGTTTTGTTGTTTTTCTTTTTCCTTTCTCTTTCGCTAAACTTAGAAACCATAGGTGCATACCTGGTTTTCAGCCAGTTTTAGGTGTGGTAACATCTACACTTGAGTATTGCCACTAGGAAATAAGACATTTACGTGGTAGTGTAAAGGACTACTGCTTTAGAGAAAGGAAACCTAGAAAGAACAACTACATCCATAGGCACACACACACGTTAAATATGTACACATGTAAATGTATATGTATATATGTTTTAGGGAGAACATAGAAAGTAGACCAAAGTAAAGCCTTTATTACTTTCACTCATTACATTCCCTACCTCCAGTAAATACTTGCAAATTCAAAGTGATAAAGTAATTGGAAAAGATGGCTTTTTAGATAATTTGTCAAAGAATGTTTTAGTGTGTCCAGAGCTTAAAATCTCAATGTTCACAACTATTAATTTATTGTGTAATTGTCTTCTTTTGTATCAGGTTGATAAAACAAAGCAAGTGTCCACCTATCAGGAAGTGATTCGTGGAGAGGGGATTTTACCTGATGGTGGAGAATACAAACCCCCTTCTGATTCTTTGAAAAGCAGAGACTATTACACGGATTTCCTAATTACACTGGCTGTGCCCTCGGCAGTAGCACTGGTCCTTTTTCTAATACTCGCTTATATCATGTGCTGCCGACGGGAAGGAGTGTGAGTACTTTAAGACTAATAAGAAAATTAGAGATCCTGCTAAGATAACAACATAGAAGATTCCATTAAAAGCCAAGTTTCATTTAGCTCATAAAACAGTTTGTAAATGAATTGAAATTGTGTTCAGTCAAACTGCAATATTTTATTTCTTTAAAATGAATTAAAATAGTTTTGAGTCTAGTAAATCAAATTAGGGCATATAATTAGTTTTTTCAGAAATTATTAAGGCTAGATGTAAATTCATACTGACAAAACAGTCCCAAGAATAATTGAGGCCAGATATTTTGGTTATACAAGCTATCTTGTATGAGCAGAGACTGGTTTGCAGACCTGTAATTGCACTTTAAAAAAATTGTGTTAGTTTGATCAGAAATGATGCTCAAAATTCTTCTTGAAATCGTTCTGCTGTCAAACAAGGTGACACGTCTAAATGTTTAAAATATGTTTTTAAAACCCAACTTAGGAGTAAATTAATGAAAATAAGGTATAATTTGAGTAATAAGTCTTCACTTCATGAATAGTTAGTACTTTCAGGACATCTATGTTAATTAAGGTAATCTCCAAAGATTACCTGAAAGTCAGGGTAACAAAGCAAAGGTTAAAAAATTAATAAAGCAGCAAGTAACAAATTCTTTCATTTTTACATGTAGCTTGATTTCATTATGTCATAGAATTTATTTCAATCAAGGCCTTGATTCTTAATCTCCATTTTTTTCCATTTTTCTATGTGTTTCTCATCAGTATTTCATCATTGTATGTGTATCATCCAAGTAATGTCATAAACCTGGTGGCAAATGCTGCCTGGTTGCATTTCATAGTAACAATGTCAGCATTTCCACATCATGCAAGATTCCATGAGCATATAGTCTTAATGTTCCAAATATCAATGCTATTATTTAATTCATAAATTTTGTTTTGTTTCTAGGGAAAAGAGAAACATGCAAACACCAGAGTAAGTGTCTTCTTTCCTGTTATTTTCTTCATCATTTTTGCCACTTCTCAGTTGCCCATCATGCTCCATACATGTGTGTCATGCTTTTTTTCATTCATCATCTTTCATAGTTTATTTCATAAATGTGAAAGCTGCTTTCTAAATAGAGATATTTAGGAGGGGTAGAAACTAAAACCTTTAAAAAGGATTTGAAAACTAAGAGTAAACAGATAAAAATTAAACCTAAAATATTTCAGATTCAGAATATTAACTTGATTCAGAATATTAACTTGCCATTTATATTATGTGATTTCCAATCTGCATTTCTGTAAACCAGAGAACAGATGAAAAGACCTTTCATACAAGTTTTCCAGAATCTACAGTAATAACCTACCATAAAATGAAACTTCTGTGAGTATTTATGAATGCCCCACCAGAAGCAAAAATATAAAAGCTATGATAGTTTTATCTTAATCACAGAAAATAAATAGAAAACTAGTTTGTTACTTAGGGCAGTAATATTAATACAGTGCTTCATAGCTTAGTTTGATAAAACGCTTATATATTTTAAAATCAGTTTATAGTTTTCAATTTTGTTATATTAAAAGTATGTGAGATATCTGACTTTCTGAGATAGTTTGTTAAATGCCCAAAGTGCAATAATGTCTTGTTACTTTAAAAGATAAAAATACTTCATAACTTTTTCAAATTGATGACCCGTTAGGCTAATATATGATTTTAAATATATGTTGTTTTATTTCTTTTTGACCTAGCATCCAACTAGTTCATCACAGTGCTATTCAGAAATCTACCAAGGAGCTTCGAGACATGTCCAAGAATAGAGAGATAGCATGGCCCCTGTCAACGCTTCCTGTGTTCCACCCTGTGACTGGAGAAATCATACCTCCTTTACACACAGACAACTATGATAGCACAAACATGCCATTGATGCAAACGCAGCAGTAAGTGTCCACTTAGAGCCATAATTATTAATATGGATGTATATTTTTAATAACATCTGTAAAGACCAGATCTTTCTGTTGTTGTGCTGTGTTTGTTTGTTTATAACTGGAAGAGAAAATAAAAAGGATTTTAGTTGTGTAAATCCCACCCCTACTATCCTGAGACAAATACAATACAATTACTTTTAGGAAATGTACCTTTTTCCCCCACCTACTAATCCAAATAAGACTACATATACCTTAATATTTAAGAAATTGACACTGATACTAAACTCACATGTTTGCTCAAAGATGAGTCAATTATTAAAAAAGAAGCATATCCTAAGCATTTCAATTTGATTATTTTTTAGAGATGTTGTTAGAATTATTTGGTTTTAACCTATTAAATATGTTATTACCGTAGACCTTTGTAATCTAAATTTTTGCCTTAGAATTAAGGATGTTTGGATTGTTTTTTGTGATCTGCTTGTCTATCAAGGCAAGCAGTTCCAATTTGGGCTATAAACACCTATTTTATTAGTGCAAACCTTGTCTAGTGTAATAGGGACCAGGGTTAGAAAGCCTGGAAGGACTTCATAAAGATAAGGGTAAGGGGTGAGGAAATTGTACAGTTGCATTTGGGAAACCATGTTGTATAATGCTGTAATACAGCATTATGCTACATCGTATATTGCTAATATAATGTAGCTTAGTGGTCACATTTTTATATAAGGGAATGGTGGGTAAAACTGTTGTTTATAAGAACATGTCTCTTTTTTTTTCTTTTTAACCGTATGTTAAAATGAGTTGAATTCAATTGCCCGAGCACTAGAAGTCACAAAGTTGGTTTATGAGGTCCTCTTCTTTTTCATTTTAATTTTGTAGATGGAGTGGCTATGCAGAAAAATCTCTTTCTCACTCTCTCAGTCTCTCTTTCTCTCTTTTGCTCACACACACACACATACACACCACCCCTTAGGATATGATATTAAAGTGAACACATTCACCTGGGAACTCTGCTGGGTACATTTTTCCCATTGAATGCTTATTTTGTAACCAGATAGAATGCAGGTGGTAATTTGAAGATTAAATAATAATTAATATGAGTAGTATAGACAGACTAGATAAGTTTATCCAGAATACTTCAGAAATCCAAAAGTATTATGAATATTTTTCTAAAGTTCTCTAACATCACTTAAGGTCATACAGACTAAGGTGCGTGTTTATGTGCATGTGTATGTGACAGAGTAATTACGTAATGGGTAGCGGGTAATTTAAGTAATGAGTAAAAATGCGTAAATTTAAAATTTTGAATTTTGGAAACATTAATATATCAGGGATATAAATATTAAAGTCTGCAAAATTTAGTTGCACTGAATGAAACAGATGGGTTTCTATACTCTCTGATGGTCAGTAGCCTATCTATTATGGGTCGTCATAAAACCCAGTTTACCAGGATTAGATATTGATGAGAAAAATTGGTAAAATTTCAATAGGATTGTAATAATTCACAATTTAACCTTTTATGCCTTTTTTAGGTGAAAATTATGAAATGGCTTTGTCATTCATTTTCAAAATGAAAAGAATTTGTACTTATTCTTTAAGGTTATTGTTTCTGATATTGTTTACCCTAGCATGCCAGTGAAATGTTGACAGATAACCCTTCAAAAATGAAATGGTCAAATCACCTAGAAAAAGTAGTAGCAACATTGTAAACTTTTAACATGAAACATGAAGTCCTGTAGCTAACCAAATTGTTTATGAATGATAAATTCAGTATACTTAGTATGAATGTGAAGATGAAATGCATACCCTTTTAAGAAGGGTTAATTAGTAAGTGCAAGGCAGCTTTATCCAAGCATATGCCTGGTTATCAAGTACGGTAATGTAAACGTTTTATTTCCCTGTTTTTTAAGCTACAACAGTCCTCAGTCCCTTAGTGTGTTGATATACTTTATGAATCCATAGGAAAAGGTCAGAATAGGCAACTCTTCATAGAACACAGTTTGAGAAATGCTTCTATTGATAATGTAACAATGCTGTAGAATTTTAGAGTAGAAAACTAGTTATAATAAGTAGGGGAACTTGACTACATATGTAAGTCAGTAAAACTCTATTGCTAATGAAATTGAAGAGAGGAAAAACGTTGCTATCATTTTAAGATAACCCTTTCTAATCATATATATTGAAAATAAGAATAGCTCCTTAAAAAGTATTTTGATTCTCTGTAGTTAGAATTTTACAATGTTGCTACTAATATACAAACAATATAAAATTTTCTGTCTAGTTTACACCAAATGCATCTTTCTGGTCCTTCCATCAAGACTCTCATTATGTTGATCAGATCTATTTGCAAATGCAATAGGCTATTATGTTGAACTCGCAACAATTTAAACACATACGTAGTTTTAAGTCCAGAAAACCTTCACATTATTCAGATTTCTGCTAATGGAAAAGCTCCATTAACTAGCACTTCTATATAAATAGGGTACATAGATAATTGATGATGTTCACAATGATTATTCTGAGGCACCGCAGGATCATCAAGTGCGTCTGACTCATCAGAGGAAAATTAAATTACATTCGGTGTCGTTTCAGTGTTGAGTGTATATTATCTTTCTTTTATTCTTGGAAATGGATAATATGTGCATGGTCTCTATGGTAACACCCTATAAGCCAGAATATGTGATTAAATTAACCTCATTTTCCAACCATGCCAGATAATAGGGAATTTATTGTATGGGGTTCATCATAGCCATTCTTCATGGAAATTCAACTTTTACTCTTTACCAGAAAAACAGCCATGTTTTAAAAGTTTTACTTCAGGACTGAGTAGACACACATAAATATTTTGGTCATTTGGATTGAACTGAATTCTCAAGATTAAATGATATGATATTTGGGGAGGCATTATAGTACTCGATAACCAGGTATATGCTTGGATAATGCTGCCTTGTACTTATTAATTTATCCTTCCTAAAAGGGCATGTATTTCATCTTCACATTCATACTGTGTGTACTGAATTTATCATTCATAAACAATTTAGCCAAAGGATTTCATGTTTATTCTTCAGACTTGATACCAGAAATATTCAGACATGGATATGGCTAAAGGTTTACATTGGCTTCTAAGTAAGATTCAAGAATATTCAAAGAATTTCAAAACTGCGTAAAACTAGTTTGTTCCTTTAAACAAGTCAATTTACATCAGAGGTATAGAGAACTCACAACATTGTGTAATGAATGGCTGCCACTGTTATCAATCACATAGTAATATTTTCTTTTCTGTAGAATGTTTCACAGAGTGCCAGACTGGCACCTTATATTAGCCAATAAGAAAAAATATTTAATCATTTGCAGAAGATAAATTTGAGCCACTGATAAGTGGCAAAGCTAAATTAGGTCAGAAGTGAGATTAGATTTTTTACCTATCCTGACATCTAGGCAGGGATAGATAGCATTCGTCATTGACCTCAGAGGGATCTCTGATTTAGGTTGTAAGCAAAATGAATAAAGAGGCAGTGGAAAGGGAAGCTGGAGTAGAACCTGGAGCTGTGCCCAGAAATGAGGTGTTTCATTTTGTAGGTATTCCTTCTGCTTTTCAAATTACAGAGATAATATAAATAGGCTGTTAAAACTATCACATAGTCTAGAAATGTAAGGTCAACTTAATTTGATCTTTGCTAATGTATTTACTATTTAATAAACTTTTTATTTTTGAATGATTATAAAGGTACAGGAAAGTTACAAAGATAATAGAGAGTTCCTACATACCCCTCAGCCAGTTTCTCCTGTGGTTAACATCTTATAGTACCATGGTATATTTGTCACAATGAAGAACCCAGTATTGTTACTTTACTGTTACCTAGACTTCAGACTTTTTTCAGATGTCATTAGTTTTTCCACCAATGTTCTTTTTCTCTTCTAATATTCTGTCTAGGACACAATAATCACTATGTTTCCTTAGTCTCCTCAGGTCTGGGCATTTTCTTATACCTTTCTTGTGGTCCCATGACCTTGACAGTCATGAAGAGCTCTAGCCAGGCACTATATAGTATGTTCCTCATGCCCTCGTATAGTAAGTTTTTCTGCATCTGTCTTTGTTATCTTTGTAGCAAATAAGCGTTGCCATTAATAGCAGGAAGAATTTTTTTCCTCTATAGACATACATCTTATGTATTACAATTCATTTCTGGAAATCACATTGTAAAGTAATTCTTAAAAGTAAATAGACTTTGCCCAAAGAATCATTGTGTGATTGGGGTTATGTTTGTGACCAAAGACTTCACATCAAAAATCTATTACGTATTTGACTGGTGTACCTCAAAGATTGCCCTTTGTAATTGTTTAAATGAAAAAAATTTAATTCCAAGTAATAGAATTTTAGGTCCTCAAAGGAATGTCAAGAGAGAGTCTAGCCTTGTTCCCAAACCATGTTATGTGTCAGAATCACCATAGAGCTTTTACAGTATACATCCTGGGGCTCTGTGTCTGGAAATTTAGAGTCTGGTGGGAGTTTATGTTACGGTAGTGGTAGAGCTCCTGCAGAGAGCTTCTCAACAAAGGTTGAGAATTCCTGGCTTAATAATCAAATGACTTAAGTTTCAAGATTGCAAAATCCAAAAACTCTGATATTTCTGGTCAGGCTCATGAGTGGGAAAGGTTCTTATCCACATTCCTCTACATGGAGTTTTAAAAGTGGAACAGTTTTTCCTAAATTCCCCCATGTGAAACTGTGAAAGAGGAGCAGTCCATGCACATTGTCTAAGAGTTTGGAGGTATTTGGGAGTTCATGCTACTCAGCCTCCAGAGCAGGCATCCCCACACTTTTTACACAGGGGGCCAGTTCACTGTCCCTCAGACCATTGGAGGGCCGCCACATACTGTGCTCCTCTCACTGACCACCAATGGAAGAGGTGCCCCTTCCTGAAGTGCGGCGGGGGGACCGGATAAATGGCCTCAGGGAGCCGCATGCGGCCAGCCGGGGAAGCCGGCTCTAAAGTCTTCCACACCTCCCTAAACTGCCTGAGGAAAATGATATGGAGAGATTGAGAGATAGAGCTAATCAGAAAACAGTGCCTGAGTGAATAAACCTGGAACAGCTCAAAGCCACTGAGAAATTGTTATTTTGTAGTCTTATGCTTGGGGACAGTGGCATTGACTTATGCTTGGGGACAGAGATCCCAATATTTGATTTTCTAAAAAATGATGTATTATTATATTAAATTTGTAGTGAGGTATGCTGTCTTTTGGGGAAAGATCTGCCTCTTCACTATTCTTATGACAACATCAATACCAGTTGATTTTTCTGAGGCAGTAGGCATCTTCATGAGGCCCCTTAGTTAGTGAATAACTAGGGATAGTGCTCCACACATTTTTCTGGAAGATATTAATTTGTTACACAAAATTTTTCTTTATTTATTATTCTAAACATAATTCCTAATCCAGGATAATTGGTTCTCCCTCAAAACAGGAGATAGGTTGTTCCTAATCTTTTGAAAATTAACAAGTATAAAAGTAGAATTAAGTCTTCTAATTAAAAATAGTATCTAATCATTTTAGCTTTTATTTAAGTATTTTTCCATTTGTCCTCCCTTTGGTCACAATGACAACTAACTTTATGGTAAAATTTCATAACTAAAAATTAAGTTTTAATAGAAGTATCAGTTGAAGACAATGTTTCAGGGGACTAAGATTTAAGATTATGGTGTCCTGTTGAGAAGAAGTATCAAGCAGCCGAGAATATTTCCGAGCCATTGATTTCCAAAAATATATTACTATTTCTTATTGTTCAGTGACACCACCATACTAATTGAAAAGTGAAATATTTTGTATTCCACGTAACTAATGTCATTTTCTTTCAACTCTGGCATGGATTCTTTGGCTTTATGCAAATCATTTTGCTTTTTAGTCTTGAAATAAGTAGCAATATAATCAGTTGATAATCATCAACTTTACTCACAGAATTACTGTACAGGGTATCCAAGAATGTCAAATTACTTTGAAACGGTTGTACAAATAACAAATAATTGTGTACTTCCCCCAAATCACTTATTTTTTAATTTGCAAATCATTACCTTTGTATTCTTAAAGAATGAAGTTTGTGCAATGACTAATTTACACAATTTTCTATTTAAATGCATGAAATTAATGAAAATGAAATTAGAAAATAATGCTAATAATTTAGAGTTCGTTTTCTTAAATTTCTATGTAATGCAGTTTATACATAATAATTTTTCACTTCATCTAATAATTATTATTTTAAATTGTTTTATGATTTTAGAAAGGTCTCTCCTTGGAAGGATTATAGGGCCTCTACTTGAAGTTGACCCCCTTCTCCTGTATAATTGCCTTTAGGAGCCTGCTCTCACCAAAGATGAAAATGCTCCACTTTCTTCCTGCATCCTCTGCATCTTTTAACTAGCAGAGTTGAGGTTGTAGGCATTTCTTCTAGTATGCCTGAAGCAGTGCTCTTATGAGCTGTGTTCCTTCAACACTTAAATGGAATACACAGTTTTAAATATGCCCATCATAGATGTATTCACACTCTAATACAGGTTCGCATGTAGTTACAAGTTGTACATAACTTGGAGACTCAAGGGTCCCCCTCAAAACAGAAGATAGGTTGTACTTAGGAGAAATTGAGTCGCAGTAATTTTTGGTTGAGCGCTTTTTGTACACACAAGCACTTTTAATATAACTCATCTAAATTTCCTTTGAAATTACGAGGAGTGCATGTGCATTGTTCAAAGTAACCACTTAGAACATGCACTATGCTTTTCAGTCCCTAAATCAATATAAGACACAGTTGCTTTCATATCTATCTTCTCTAAATTTCTTGCTAGTTTGTGTGTGGCATTTTTCTCAACCAGCCATCTCTTTTCACCTAGCCCAACCCATTGTGATTTAGAAAGTTTAGCAATGCAGCAAAAGAGGAACAAATGGAAGCTAGAGGAGAAACAACAGGGCATAGGTTGTCTTTGATCAGTGGTTTCCAAGCTAAATTCCACAGAAAGGTCAGTTAGGAGGGCCAAGAGGAGGGCCAAAAGGGTGGGGGCGGTGGAGGGGGCATCCAATTACCTCATCCAAATGCTGATATTGAATTTGAGGTACCCTTAATCTAGGGCTTTTGGAAAACCTGTGTCTTTGTTTACCAACCACTGCCTATGATACAACACCTACATTCTGGACTTTCTTTATCCTCTTTAATTTTTGTGTTTTGTTGAAATGTGTTTATTTAATCTGTTAACAGGCTAGGTAGAGCTAGAGATGGTAAGGAATGAGGAAGTGCTTGTGTGTGTGTGTGTGTGTGTGTGTGTGCATGCGCTTGTGTACAGAGGGTGCACTGTATTCGTTTTGAGTATAGAATAGACCCAAATCAGTTGTACCTGAGTAGGTAAAACACATTCTCCCACCCCATGCCAGATGCCCAACTAATTGCATTTTGACTTCTATAGTAAAGATGTTTGCCTTGCCATCTTTAAATGTAGAACTTATTCCCTCTTTGTAGTTTATAAATTGATCTTTTTACTTTGTGACCAAAACAAATATAAATACATTGTGTGAAATTCTGAAAGAACAAACTAAAAAGAAATACTCCTCTAGCCCACCCAGGGATAAGTAAGGCTGATAAGTAACAATAAAAAAGAATATAATCGTTGGAACAAATTATTAAGTAACTTCCTCAAATTGAGTTAGAGTTGAGTTTATTATTTTCTTAGTAATATCTTTAAAGTGGAACCAAAACATTAAAAAAATCACTCAAAGCTGTTAACTATAGATTAAATTAAGAGTTTAAGTACTGTTTTCCACTTTAGATTGTTGTATTTGGAACATAATACTTGCCTGGCTGAAATAATTCAGATCAATGGTTTTCAAACTGTTTCTTAGAGATTTCTTAGAATTGCTGTAGGGGCCAGCATGAGGGACAGAGAAAACAAAGCAGACAGGATTCCTAACTCCCTTGTTTCAACCCAGGCAACCTCACATTTATCTCTTTTGTACATTGAAGTTCCGCTTAGGGTTTCAATTAAGAGGAATCCCAGTGCTAAAGAGAAAACACAAAACTTTGAAAATCCCCAGCTTGGATCAAACTTTATTGCAAAGGACTGGCTCCTAGAGTTTCTTCCACACAGAACCTAAATTGTACATTTTCATAAACTAATTTTAATATCAAAATTTGAAACTAAATGGGTGTATCTATATGTTAATAAACATGTATATTATATAAGTCTTTTTAAAATATACTTTAAGTTCTGGGGTACATGTGCAGATTGTGCAGGATTGTTACATAGGTATACACATGCCATGGTGTATGTGAGTCTCTTTAATGCTTACTGCTCAGGATACTAAACAAAATAGGATGGTTCTTATTGTTAATATACTATAGGGCAATTAAATATTATGTGCAGAGAATACAATGACAATCAGCATGTGAATGAAAGCATGCTAAATGGTAACCTAATTGTGAGTTGCTTAGAGAGGAGCCATAATATGTTAAAATTTTTAATAACATTTCTTATGGGAATTTTTAAATTATAAGAGTAATACCTGTATGTTATAACAAGTTCTGAGTTGAGTTTGCAAGGACAAATGGGAGCTGATTGGGTACAGGATATGGTAGTAGCCATGCTTCAAGCAGACGTGGGGCACTCCATTGTAGGAGTGAGATATATTGTGGCTTTCCAGGCAACATTAAGAAATCTGAAACTTAATCTGCAGATAAATTTAAGGAAATATTGAAATGTGTATTATTTGAATGACATAATCAGACTTGTGTCTTAGAACAATAGTCCCCAACCTTTTTGGCACCAGGAACTGGTTTCACGGAAGACAATTTTTTCACGGACCAGGAGTAGTATTACACACTTTATTTCTATTGTTATTGCATTGTAATATATAATGAAATATTATGTAACTCACCATAATGTAGAATCAGTGAGAGCTCTGAGCTTGTTTTCCTGCAACTAGATGGTCCCATCGGGGGTGATGAGAGACAGTGACAGATCATCAGGCATTAGATTCTCATAAGGAGTACACAACCTAGATCCCTAGGGTTCACACTCCTGTGACAGTCTACTGCTGCCACTGATCTGACAGGAGGTGGAGCTCAGGTGGTAATGCAAGTGAGTACAGTTGAAACTTCGCTGGCTCACCTGCCGTTCTTCACCTCCTGCTGTGCAGCCAAGTTCTGTGGCCCAGAGGTTGGAGACCCCTGTCTTAGAAGATGATTCTGACAGCAGTAGGCAGAGTGGATTATAAGGGGACAAGAATGTGAATAAGGAAACAAGTCAGACCAATTACAAGGATTCAAGTGAGAAATGATGATGGCTTCAACCAAGCCATTATTAATTAGCAATGGAGATGGGGAAGAATGGGGCACATCAAAATAAGACAAAAAGAAATGCCAAAGTCCCTAAGTGGTTGAATGTGGGGACTGAAGGAGAGGGAAGGAACAAGGATGACTTCTGCATTTTGCTAATGCATTTGCATACATGGCCACTGTTATTCCTGACATGAAGATAAAAGAGCACAGATGTTTGAGATAGTGAATGAAGGTTATATTTATTTTTCCAAAAAATGTCTGAGCATATGTATGTCTTCTAGACCTGGATCTGAAAGTATATAGCTTAAGAGCACAAGCCACTGTGTTCACATCTTTACCTTCCATGTCCTAGGTATGTGGCATTGGATCTGCAAGGCTAGTTCCTCACCAATAAAATGGGGAAAATATTTTTGTCTACCTATTAGGGTTGTTGTGAGGTACTTTAGAGTATAGCAGGTAGTGAAAAAATTATGCATATTATCAAATATTGTTAATTTTTATTCTCCTCAGACCTAGTTTCCTCATCTGTAAGCTCATGAAGGGGGAGGGGAATTGTGCTGGATTACATGACCGGGGTTATAGTTACCCATAAAGTTTTTCAATCTAGTATGTCTGTTCTCTTTTTACAAGTGTGTAGCAAACACAGTTTTACTCAAAAATGTTCATCATTTCTAGGAACTTGCCACATCAGACTCAGATTCCCCAACAGCAGACTACAGGTGAGTGCTAAGAATAATAAATTCATGTTTATGGATGAATCTAATAGATTAAAAGATAATTATGGCACTATATAAAATTTGTGTCATAGACATAGACATAGACTTAGAACCTCAGAATAATAGCTTAGATTATGACATAGATTGGCATCAGAATGATAAACACAGGGTAAATGATCTTAGAGCAAAAGCATCCATGGAGGTCCTGTCTAATTAAGGAAGACTGAATAAAACCCCTTTCCTTTAGTGAAGCTCCCTATTCTTCCCCTTGGTATGAAAGATTCTTAGCTTGGATGCGTCCAGGATTTGTCTCAGTAAGTGAGCAGCTTGAAACTGACTCTTACAAAAGGAAACCATTGTGACTAATCACTGAGGCTTCAGTGGGATAAATGAGAAGTGGCTGGCCTGGTTTTAAACCTGCTTTAAAAAGCTGTTATAACATGACCAGTGACAACAAGATGGCGGACAATTCTCCTTGGACTATTCTATTTCCCTAAGACTTGCTTTCTTTATTTCTTTCAAATGTCCCTAAAAATTTTCTACAGCCAATTATTTCATTCATCTCTATACTGAGTAGATAACTTATTCATGATTGTCTTCTAATTAGTGGTTGATTCCTAGTTCTAATTGCCAGGCAACCATTAATGCCTTTGTAGCTCTTTTGGAAAAGCAAGAGAAGTTTTAAAAATGTAAGTTGGGTGTGGAATTCTAAGTATGAATAGTGGCATTGTGGTAGGGAAACTATTAAGTAAGTCTCTTAAAAACTTCAGGCACATACAGAAATGTATTGCATGTTTTCATTCAGAAATTATCTTCTCTATTACTGCTTTCGTGAATTTAAGGAGATTTTCGTTTGACAACTTTTCAAAGATTTGAGGCAAGTATAATGAAATTGTTCATCAGATTTTAGTTACAGGATAATGTTTATCAGAATTTTTCCTATACTTTGATTATTTGTTTTAATTAAATGCTAACATGTTTCAACAAGACTATTCAATATATTGATGTGTCGTTGCTACTTTGTAAGCATTCAGGAGATTGATGAAGGAACAAACTTTGTTATAAAAATGAGTCACCTAAAGAGATAAAAAGAAAATTGAATTCCTAGTACCACTAATTTCATGGCTATTTTTTTAAAGAGGATAATTTCTAAAAGAATATTTCCACAATGGAAACGACAGAACTTCTTCATCATTAACCTTGTAGCTTCCATCTCTCCTAAGATGTCTATCTTCTGATGCTTAATTATTTCAGGCATGGAGAGAGTAGAAAGGAGGCAATTTCTAGAAAAATAGTAAATATTTCTTTTGAGTATTTAAAAATCTAGACTTTACTTACTTACCCACTAGGGGAAATAGGAAACTTGAGTAGATGATATTAGGGCAATTTAATAGTCACATATTTTTTTTTTAGCAAGTATGCTTGTTAACTTGCTACATTTTGGTAACAGAACATTTCCAAATACAAGGACAATTTATGCCTAAACAAATACAAGAGCTGGAGTTTTCCCAGGGGATTTTAAGGTTGTTTAACCCAATTTATGAAATTATTTTTCTGAAACAGATTTTAGGGAGCAGGCATTTTGCTTGAGTCAAGAAAGCTTTGCTCTTCTTTTTAGTTAACACTAGAGCCTATTACCTTCTTGTTTTCTTACATTTTTCTGCAATTTGGATTATATTACTGACTAAAATACACTATCTCCTCTGGTGGTTTTGTTGTTACTTTCTCCTCTTGGTTGTTTTGTTGTTATTGTAGTTTTTTCAGTGAGTCCCTACAATATCTAAGTGCCAAAGGGAGAGAAACCACCCTAGCATTTTTTTATAATTATGAAAGATTGGTGTGTTTGTACCTCTGGTACATCTAAAACTAAATGGAGGCCAGGTGTGGTGGCCAAGGTGGGTGGATCACCTGAGGTCAGGAGGTCGAGACCAGCCTGGCCAACATGGTGGAAACCCCATCTCTACTAAAAAAAATACAAAAATTAGTTGGGTGTGGTGGCACATGCCTGTAATCCCACCTACTTGGGAGCCTGGGGCAGAAGAATCACTTGAACCAGGAGGCAGAGGTTGCAGTGAGCTGAGATCACACCACTGCACTCCAGCCTGGACAACAGAGTGACTCTATATCAAAAAAAAAAAAAAAAAAAAAAAGAAGAAAGAAAAAGAAAAAAAACTAAATGGAGGCATGGCTCCTGGAGAGAAGGGCTAATGGGCAATTTATATTCCTTATTGTCATTCTATTTATTTAAATTAAAAAGTTTGTTTCTCAATTTCTAAATTATTCTATCTACAAATGCATGGATTCAGTGCTGTTCATATATTTTTGTGAGTACAACAGCTTTTCTGTTCGTTTATTCAGATTATCCTAATACTGCGAAGAGGCAGCTACATTTATGCATGATTATCGTTAAACAGTAACTGGAGTTTTCCAAGTACCACAGCACACTATGCACGTGTCAGTTTTCTTTATGAAGATAATTTAGGCACAAGAGTTTGTCTTGGATATCAAGTAATTTTATTTGTAGCCACCCATGTGGAATTTATCAGGAGAAAGTATATCTTGAAGTGTTTTTTTTTTTTAATTAAGTTACTTGTTTTCTTTTAAATTCTCATCAAAACTTTAAGAAATGAACTAGCTGCTGGTGTTGTAGTCCTGGACTTGGGCCCTAGCTGGGATAATAGAGCAGTTAAAAGCTGACAATCACACTAACTTTTGGACTAGACCCAAACCATTAGGTCTGATGCCCCTTCAGGTTTTCTCATTTTCTCTGCCCTACCAGCCCACATGGTATTTTTTTAAAAGCCATGATTAAAAGGCACAGTCATACATCCCACAGTCAACTTTATTCTTTTTGTTTATTGTGGGAGGAATTTTCAGACTGTACCTTTTGGGAAATATAAAATATTATAGCTTTGGTCCAAGAAGGAGAGGATTAATTTAGAATTTTTTCTTTCATTTTTTAAACTAAATACAGAGAAATCATGCAATGTAATTATTTTACATTGTATTAAGAAGATGGAAATTTTATCCTTGCCGTAATTTCCTTTGCTCAAAATCTAAAAGTATCCATGCCCTAACGCCTGCCCATATTCATTCTTACACATTGCAGGTAAATGGTATCCCTGAAGAAAGAAAACTGACTGAAGCAATGAATTTATAATCAGACAATATGGCAGTTATATCATATTTCTTTTCTCTTCCAATAATGCATGAGCTTTTCTGGCATATGTTGTGCATGTTGACAGTATTAAGTGTGTACCAAGTAATACAACATAACTTTCATTTTACTAATGTATTTTTTGTACTTAAAGCATTTTTGACAATTTGTAAAACATTGATGACTTTATATTTGTTACAATAAAAGTTGATCTTTAAAATAAATATTATTAATGAAGGCTAATATCTGGTGAAATTTATTTCAATAAAGTATTTGCTTCCTATTTAGTAGAAATCTTTTAATTGCTAGAAACAGGTTTGTGTGTTCAGTCTCATTCCACAAGATTTTATTTCGTCCTTCCTATAAATATATAAAATGTCTGTGCGTTAGTGTTCCAATTGAGCAACCCATTTAAATAATATTTTAACTCTTGTGGCCTGTAAATCCTTTTGTTTTTATACCACTTGGAGTATTTTCAAATAAACCTAGTTTTATGGATTGTGAAACTGATGATATCCAGTTAATGCAGAGCAGTCCAGGTTTCACATTTAGCTGACTTCATAATCAGTTATTTGGTTTTTTTTTTTTTCTTCTTTAGCTATACTTACTGAAATGGGAGGATATTTGGATCTAGAAGCAAGACAGGAGCTATTACACAAAAAGAGAATCGTTACTGCTAATGTGACATCAGTTAGCACCAAAACCCCAGAGGTCCTTGCAGTAACTCTTTATGTTCAGGCTCTATTGCTTCTTCTTACCATTTTGGTCTGCTTCATGCATCTTGGATACTATTGGATCAGTGTGGCTATCATGTCACCTGGCAGGGCAGCTTGCCTTGCAGACTGGGCTAGCTGGAAAACCTTCTCTTAATCTACTCTGGGCAAATCTTTGTGTCACCTATTAGTTGGCCAGAGATCACAAAAATTCCAAAATTCAGAAAGATTCCCTGTTAATACTATGTACCGCAACTTGTTTTCCACTTAGGGAGAATACTCTATCATATCATTGACATTAGAACCTCCCTCTTCTTTCTAGGACAGAGGAAGTAGGTTTTCTTATTTCTTATAGATATCTCTGTTACTCTTATTTCTTCCTAAGTTATCTAGGGCATTGCCACTTGCTGTTCTCCAGGATTAATCAGCTTGAGATTGTAAATGTACTGCATCAGAGTCATGGCCTAGGAGGAATGCAATGTCAAGGCTCCAGAGTACCGGATTTTGGCACAGACACAGAGTAAACAAACTGTTGCTCCTGTCAGGTGAAATAAAACTGCTCCTAATAGTCCAAGTGAGCAGCAACAAGGTAACACATGATCGACATATCATGGACTACAGATCAGAAATCAGGAATTTTATTAATCTATTTAGTAAAGAAGCCATTTGGAGTTGGGAAAGTACAGTTGGAGTTAGCATTGGGTTTTGCATTGACCATATTGAGGTATTGAATGGGGAGAGAAATCATTGGCCAGCATCTTACAAATATTTAATAATAGCTTTAATCTGTGCAGTTCCCCCTGAAAAAGTAATCTTGCTTCTGACTTAATATTTTGATGGGGAAAACAGTCCAAATAATTTCCCCGTCGTTGATGCTACCCTAATAGTCCTTAAGGACTTAAGGGTTTTTCTGTTTTTGTTTTTGTTTTACAAAGTGAGGATTCTGCCCTATGTTGAGGATTTCTATCCCAACTATACACTCTCATAGTGGGCAAATGGCTGGCTGTTGAGTTTTGGGTCCTGGTGGTAAATTTAAAACACCTTTTTCAGTTAGCCAGCATAATCCCTTGCCCTAAAATACTGACTATAATGGTTCTCCACATTTTCAGGAATTCAAGTAAACTTAAGATTTAAATTCCAAATCCCCTAAAAGTTTGTGCCTTTTCCACCCTCCAAGCTATAGTTACCCATATACATGACAACCTCTCTTTGAGGAAGGTCTAGGTTCAATTTCCACATGGGGTGTACCTAAAGTTGCAAGATTTCCCATCATTCCACAGGGTCCATATCTATAAACTGGTTCTTTTGAATTGACTTAAGGGACCATGATTCTTTTAAACATTGACTTTAGTAAGGCTGTCTCCTACCAAACTTGTGTGTTTATTTCTATCCGCCTTCAGTCTTTACTTGGAGGCTAGATCAGTAATGGTACTGGGCAGTGAGCAACAAGGGATTGTTGATCTTTAGAAGTGCCAGTGGCAGTAATGAAATTGAAAGCTCCTAACCAGTTATTTAGGTCAAAACATGCATTAAAAATTCACATCTGTAAGTCTACACTGATGATAGAAAAGAGCTCTAAGTAAAGCTCTGAAGGCTAAATTTGAGGCTAAGAGAATACTTAGAAGAAAATTAAATAGAAAATAACATCAAGGTCAGTGCCTCCAAGTACAGACATAGCAAATAGGTGAGGTGAGTGACCCTTGAGATCAATGGTCCAAGACCTGAGCCATTACTTCTCATGTCTTGACCATACCAATTAAGGATGAATAAAAGCCTTTAAGCAAGCCATCCTAAAACAGGGCAGCTTCAAAAATTTGCATTTCAGAATTTCCTATTAAACACCTCTACCATCTGCTTACTTACTGAATGCCTAATACATTACTATAAGTCAGATAGTGTTCTAAGGATGCAATGGTGAGCCAAACTAGACATACACTTGTTCTCAAGGAGTTTACATGCTAGTGGAAAGACATATTAATCAAGTAGTTATACAAATAAATGCCAACCTGTAATAGTGATAAATGCTATGATGGAAAGTAATTGATGCTATAAAAGTTTATCACAGCAGGACTTGACCTAGTCAGCAAGGTCAGAGAAGCTTCCCTAAAGTTTGGTTGATACCAAAAGAATGAGCAGTAAATGCTAAGATGAAACTATCAACTAAGTAAACGGACAACCTACTGAATAAAAGAGACAGTTTTTGCAGTCTAACCATCTGACAAAGGTTTAATATCCAGCATCTATAAGAAACTTAAACAAACTTACTAGGAAGAAAAAAACATTAAAAAGTAGGCAAAAGACATGAATAGATAATTCTCAAAAGAAGACATACATGTGGTTAACACAAAAAAAAAGCTGGCCAAGCACAGTGATTCACGCCTGTAATCCGAACATTTTGGGAGGCCGAAACGGGCAGATCACTTGAGGTCAGGAGTTCAAGACCAGCCTGGACAACCCCGTCTCTACTAAAAATACAAAAATTAGCCAGCCGTGGTGGCAGGCACCTATAATCCAAGCTACCCAGGAGGCTGAGGCAGGAGAATCGTTTAAACCCAGGAACTGTAAGTCACAGGGAGCTGAGATCGTGCCACTGTACTCCAGCCTGGGCAACAGAGTGAGACACACACACACACACACACACACACACACACACACACACAAAGCTCAACATCAACATCACTGATCATTAGAGAAATGCAAATCAAAACCACAATGAGATACCATCTCACACCAGTCAGAATAGCTATTATTAAAAAGTTAGAAAATAACAGATGATGGCAAGGATGTGGAGAAATAGGAATGCTTTTAAACTGTTGGTGGGAGTGTAAATTAGTTCAACAATTGTGGAAGACATTGTGGTGGTTTCTCAAAGACCTAGAGACAGAAATACCATCCAACCCAGCAGTCCCATTGCTGGTATATATGCAAAGGAGTATTAACTATTCTATTATAAAGATACATGCACATGTATGTTCACTACAGCACTATTCACAATAGCAGACACATGGACTCAACCTAAATGCCCATCAATGATAGACTGCATAAAGAAAATGTGGTACATATACACCATGGAATGCTATGCAGCCGTAAAAAGGAATGAGATCATGCCCTTTGCAGGGACATGAATGGAGCTTGAGGCCATTATCCTTAGCAAACTAACACAGGAATAGAAAACAAAATACCACATGTTCTCACTTATAAGTGAGAGCTAAATAATGAGAACACGTGGACACATCGGAGGTAACAACACACACTGGGACCTGTTGGAGGGCAGGAGGTGGGAAGAGGGAGGTAATCAGGAAGAATATCTAGTGGGTACTAGGCTTAATACCTGGGTGATGGGATGATTTGTGCAGCACACCATATGACACACATTTACCTATGTAACAAACCTACACATCCTACACATGTACCCCTGAACTTAAAAGTTGGAAATGAAATGAAAAAAAAAAATGCCTTTGATGTCAACTGAAACCATGAGAATGGATGTCTGCCTGTCTGACAGTGTTGGACAGTGTATTAAAATGGGCATTGATACATAGTCAGTGAGATTGTAAGTTGGTACCCTGTTCTGGGAAGAGGCTTGATACTATGTTCTAAGAGCTTTTAAGTTTGATTTCATATGCACCAAGCAATTTCTAATTTTAGTTTGGATTCTCATGTTTATCTCTTGAGGAGACACAGCACTGTTCATGGCACTAAGAGAATGATATTTTTCACTGTAAATTTAAAAATTGGCCTTATGAGTCTATGTGTCTAATGTGAGTCTATCCCTAAATGGTAGCTCTCTTTATGGGATTCTGGCAAAATCAGACTCTCGAATCTGTAAATCAAAAGGCAACCCATGGACTATGGTTAATTGAAGGAATAAGGGTTCCCTGAAGAGGGTGCGTGACAGTGATGCAGTTGGTGATCCTTTGCAACACCTTGGCTGACTGCTCCCTGTTCAAACTGCAACAGAAAATATAGATTGAGTTTTATTTGAAAAGAAACTAAGAGAATGATATGCTTCAGGCTGGTTTGGGAGGTATTCCACGTATGAGCAAAAGGGTAGGGCAGCAGTAAACTCTATGTGCATTCTGAAATAATTGGCAGCTTTGCAGCCTAAGATGAGTAGCCTTAGGTGACAAGAGAAGTGACTCAAGAGTTCTTAGGCCATCTGTTGGAACAAAGGTGACTTTAGAAAAAAAAAAAATCTAACAACTTGTGATGGCGCTAAGATTAGGAAAGTTATACCCTATACCCTGACTTTATCTGCAATGTTATAATTTTTGTTATTTTTATAAGGAAGAATGTATTCATATCTTACTTGAGTAATTTGAAAATCTTCAACAAAAATTTAAGGAAATGCCAAAAAAATGCTAAGATGATGAGGAATAAGAAAAAATATTTGAGGTAGACAGATGAGCATTATCTAAGCCCTTTGGAAGAAGAGATCCTAGTGAGTCTAGAGTTCCATCAAAGTTCAATGTAGCCACAGTATGGAGACTAGGCAAGAGATGGTAAAGTATAGGGGTAGGCGAGATCTAA